TCAGTGACTTTAATGGAATTTTTAGCCTAAGTCCAATACTAAATGTTTTGCCTTTTAGTTCAAAAGCAGAGAGTAATGTTGCTAATGAACCAATGCTCTCATGCACCAGTCGGTGCCCTAAAAAGTTTGTCATTGTAAAATGTGACTGCAGATTTGTTCTTTGGGTAAGCTCTGCTGTGTTGGGACCCACTTTCATTCTAGGGAGTGACTTGGGTACTTCTAGAAGAAGTCTAAATTGCTTGAATCAGAACTTGAACCTTGTGTTGAGCTTGATTTTTCTCCTTAATATACTGCTTTTGAAAAGCAGTTTTTCTTTCCTGGCTTTGGCAGTCCTTGCACATAACAGGCACTCAATAAATATTTATTGAATTGAATCGAATTTGACCTTTTTAGAAGGCATATTCCTGGTGTAGGATTATCCATTTTCGGCAGGAGCTGTCATAAATCAGAATTTAATACTAATCCACCTGATGAACTGCATGCTCAGCAGCATATGGTAGTTCAGCATTGTATGTTGCACGTTCCGCAGTGCAAATTTAGAAAACTATGACCTGTAAGGGCCTGATGAACTGACTCTAGCCGATTTCAAACCTACTTGTACCACTCACCCATGGGTTTCTGTGTTCCTATGTTTTTGAATGAGGGCATTGACTCTGCTCTTCACACACTGTACACTCTGCTTCCTCTCAAGCCTTTGCACACCCTTTGCCTGGAATATTTTACAAATTTCGGTATGCCTTTCTTAACACTCCCATGTAGCTCTTCATACATTCCTGTTTTGCAGTGCTCAAATTCTCCTGCAATTCTTTTCTAAGCCACTAGTTTTTTTCACTACAAAACTCATAGATCTGTGATTTCTTTCTTTCTATATTCCCTAGGGCCTGAAACAATGCCTGACACAAAGGTTTGTAAAATTAAAAAATGGGTCCCAAAGTTCATGTAAATTTGCAAATGGAATAAAATAAAAATGTAAATGTGTTTAGCCAGGGATCATTGATTATATGTCTGATACTAATTAAATTATGATATAGGTCGAAAGAAGATCAGCTTGAGATTCAGAAGATGCCGGCTATTGTGTTGGATTAATGACTTCTTAATAGTCCCTTAATCTTTGTAGTTCTTAGTTTCTTTATTTGAAAATGAATGGATTGGACAGGATCTTTACTGAGATCCCTTAGAGCAGAATTGCCTTGCTCCTAAGTTAATTATAGAGAACTAGGTCTCTTCTGCCAGACTCCTTGAGTCAGGAAGTATCTTCTAATCATCTGTAATTTCCTGGCACAAAGCTTAGTACCTGGTATATAGTAGTTATTCAAACAATATTACTGAATGAAACAATAAATTCCCAGAGAGAATTACGATTTAAATAAAGTAAATGAGAAAAAGATTAGGTAGATAATAGTTAATTAAAAATGTGTAACATTTAAAAGAATCTATTAAAGAACAGTTATTTGGAATGTCTGAAAAAAGTACCCGGGAGAAATTTTTATGTATCAGTTAAAATATTCAACAATAGAGAAAATGAATTTGCAACTGCCCAGTCCCCTAACTACAAGTTAATAATTTTTTAAACTGTGACATGTTGTACCAAGTTTTATGTGCTGATATTAAACTGCTCCTGGAGGATGTTAGTAGAGATATTTTTGAAATTTGTATATACTTCTGATAACATTTTTTAGTTTTAAGAATTGAAAAACTGTATCCTATTTCAACTAGGATTTCTTAAATCATTGATATATTTGTGACTTCCTCAGTCTTTAGGGAAGTTTTTACATTTAAACTATGCCTATACCTTTGGGTTAATGATTTGAATATTAGTGTAGTTTAATCATGAAAATAGGGAAGTAATAAATCATACTATTTATGTATTTTATATATACCTTATGCATATATATGGTATATGGTATTCCAGAATTAATCAACCAAGTCATCTGTATACCCATTTATTAGTTCTGTACTATGTGCTAGACCAGTGGTTGGCAAACTGTGGCTCGCGAGCCACATGCAGCTCTTTGGCCCCTTGAGTGTGGCTATTTACTATGTGCTAGACAATTCTGTTTTGGGCACTGTATACAAAGAGGAGGAAGATATGAAGATAGATGCTCTCAGTGAACGTGACAAATGGTTGTCTTAAGTTAGGGGCTCATGCTTGATAGTTTGAGGAAGATTTTTCTCCCCACAAAAAAATTATATGGTTATTTATTTTAAAAAAAGCAAGAGAGATAGCAAGTTTGAGTACTTTTTTTCATTTGTTATTTTCTTGAGTTTTTTTAAAAAATTAATTTTTAGAGAGAGAGGAAGGGAGAGGGAGAGAGAAAGAGAAACATTGGTGTCAGAGTGGAACATTGATCTGTTGCCTCCTACCAGGGATCCAGTCTACAACCTGGACATGTGCCATGACTAGGAATCGAACCAGCAACCTTTTGGTGCATGCCATGACATCCAACCAACTGAGTTACACTGGCCAGGGCTCCTTGATTTTTTGTTTGTGGTTCTTGAAAGTATTATTATTCAACTGCTTTCTATTTGGCTCAGGCACTTTTATGAGTACCCAGCAGAGGATGCAAGTTTTGTGAAACCTGAAATTTGGAGGGGTCCTTTTATTTGTTTTTTATTTTTTCAAATATATTTTATTGATTTTTTACAGAGAAGAAGGGAGAGGGATAGAGAGTTAGAAACATCGATGAGAGAGAAACATTGATCAGCTGCCTCCTGTACACTCCCTACTGGGGATGTGCCTGCTACCAAGGTACATGCCCTTGACCGGAATCGACGCTCTATCCGCTGAGCCAAACCGGTTAGGGTGGGAGGGGTCCTTTTAATTAAAAAAAAATACAAATACAAAAGTATAGATACAAAATTGGATATAAAGGTGAATTTTCTTTGAAAATAAAGTTACAACAAGTTATACTTTAAAAGTATGAGAAATTCACAAACATCAGGGAATTTCCACTCTGTACATTTTATACTTTGATTCTCTTCCATTGTCCACAGTTGTGAGTACCACTAGACACACTCAGATGACCCGATTTGACTTGAACCTTCCTGCTCCTATGCTGGGCTAGTGAGCATCGTTGGCACTTACAGTATTCCTGAAGTCATTCTTTTATTACAACTGCTGACAGTAATTTAATTTTAGAAGTGACTGTGCACTTCACATGTACCTTCCACTAAAGCTAAATTAAATGTATCTCCAGCCCAAATTCTAATTAGCCAGATTCCACAAACAGCAGGATACTCCATTGCCAACCAACAGCAGGATAAATTTGATGGAAGGAAAGTCATATTAGAAAAAGACGGCAGTCTTAACCAATTGTGTTTAAAATGTCTTGCTCTTGAGAATTTTACAAAAAAAGAAAATAATAATAATGAAGGCCTTAGAAGAGAGCCAGGTATATGAGGGACCCTCAAGTTTACTATTCATTAGCTTTCAGTAAACGTGCCTGTATGTGTACATTTTGCAAGTTCACTCTATGTATGGTCTTATGCAGTGGTTCTCAACCTTCTGGCCGTTTAAATACAGTTCCTCATGTTGTGACCCAACCATAAAATTATTTTCATTGCCCTAACCGGTTTGGCTCAACGGATAGAGCGTCGGCCTGTGGACTGAAGGGTCCCAGGTTCGATTCCGGTCAAGGGCATGTACCTTGGTCTGGAATCCTGCATGGACACTCTGCTATTGGACTCATTGATTTCATCTAAACCAGTGGTTCTCAACCTTCTGGCCCTTTAAATACAGTTCCTCATGTTGTGACCCAACCATAAAATTATTTCCGTTGTTGCTACTTAGCTGTAATGTTGCTACTGTTATGAATCGTAATGTAAATATCTGATATGCAGGATGGTCTTAGGTGACCCCTGTGAAAGGGTGGTTCGACCACCAAAGGGGTCGCGACCCACAGGTTGAGAACTCTTATGCAATTCCCAATGATTTAATTAAATACTAAATCGGGTGGTTCCTTATACTCTGGTTCAAGGGGTAAGAATGAGATGTGTTGATTTTGACTAAAAGTCACATGAACATGTGGAAGTGAATGTACTAGTTTAGTTACTCTCTTTTCTTGTTCACTCCAGAAGGTATTTTCAGTTCTGCAGGCAGCCCTAAACACCCAGTGGTTGTGCGGCACCTGATGGAATGACCGAGTGGTTATACTGTAACACAGGTTTATAGGCATGGGAGAGAATCTGGGGAGGTGGAAAAGACTCGTTCTAACCTGACACCATTTACTACTTAATAACTCAGTTATTAAAATTGCACTTATGTTTTATTCTCCCCAGGGTTAGGAACAATATATAAAACATTAATTAAAATCTATGAAAGCATTTTACCTAAGAGTTCAATGTAGTAAAATAATACATAGATATGAGACATTGGTTACCAGCAGAAGAGACTCATTTCCTCATTTTTATTTTAAAAAGAGACTGTTAGTGGTATACAATAATTATACCCTGGAGTTCTATTAAGCCATGGATAATGAGACATTGTAGAAGAGAGGATGAAAACTTTAGGACTTGAAAGTAAAGGTATGACCCAAAAAAACCTGAGAAAACAAACAAACAAACAAAAAAACAAAACCTTATGTACACAGACAACAGTATGGTGATTACCAGAGGAAAAGGGGGTTGGCGGGAGGTAGAACAGGGTAAAGGAGGAATAAATGGTAATAGTAGGAGACTTGACTTGGGGCCATGAACACACAATACAGTATATAGCTCATATACTATAGAATTGTGCACCTGAAGCCTATATAATTTTATTAACCAATGTCACCTCAATAAATTCAATAAAAAAAACTGAATAGGAGGAGAAGGAAATAGGATTTAATTGTATTAAGATAGATACAGATATTTGTCAACTCTTTGTAGACTGGTGTTAATAATTTAAAGTCAAAATTCATACTATGTAAAGTGAAGAAATAGTACAACGTTCACTAAGTTTCTCTATAAAAGAAAATATTGTGGTTCATATGAAATGTTTTATTTTTGTCTTTGTTTTTTAGGTCAGACTGTGCCAAAATCCCAAACTTCAGTTGAAAAATAGCCCACCATATATACTTGATATTTTACCTGATACATATCAGCATTTGCGACTTATATTGAGTAAATATGATGACAACCAGAAACTTGCCCAACTCAGTGAGAATGAATATTTTAAAATCTACATTGATAGTCTAATGAAAAAGTCAAAACGGGCCATAAGACTCTTTAAAGAAGGCAAGGAGAGGATGTACGAGGAGCAGTCACAGGACAGGTAAGACTATTTCAGATTTTATTTCTTAGTGTTAAGGTCATTTATGTTGCCTTTTGTTTCACAGGTAGCATAAATGTCAAAATGTGTTTACTTTGGGGAAATGTCATTTCAATTGTGTATTCCCTTTTCACATTATCTAGACCTTGTAGTTTTATAAAAATTTATGATAATAGGTAATTTGTGAGAGAGTGTTCTAATTTTTAAAATATATTTTATATTTTAGAGCGGTTTTAGATTTACATAAAAATTACTTGGAAAGTACCCTCTCTCCTATATGCAGTTATTCCTATTATTAATATCTTGTGTAGTGTGTGGTACATTTGTTACAGTTGATGAACCAATATTGATACAGAATTATTAACTAAAGTTCATAGTTTGTATTTGCATTCACTCTTTGTGTCATACAGTTTTGTGGGTTTTGACAGATATATAATGTCATGTATTTTCTAGCACAGTATCATCTTAGAATAGTTTCACTACTTTTAAAATGCCCTTTGCTCCGCAGTATGGTTTAACCCTCTTAGAAAGTCATATTGTTGAAAGCATGTAATAATATAATGTTTTCAGACTGGCTTTCTTCACTTAACAATATGCATTTAAGGTTCCCCCATGTCTTCATAGCTTGTTTTTATTTTATTTTTATCACTGAATAATACTAATTACATGGGTATACCACAGTTTGCTTATTCATTTACTTGTTGACAGACATCTTGGTTCCAGTTTTTGGCAATTATTGATAAAACTGCTGTAAATATTCATATGCAGGTTTTTGTGTGGACATAAGCTTTTAGCTCATTTGAGTAAATACCTAGGAGCATGATTGCTTGATCTTATGGTAAGCTTATGTTTAGCTTTGTAAGAAACTCCTAAATGTCTTCTGAAGTGGCTGTAATGTTTTACATTGCCACTGGTTTCCTATTGCTCCACATCCACCAGCATTTGATATAGGAAACACTGTCTTTAAGATGGAGTCTTGATTGAATGTGTGGGTGTGGTAGATGTGGGTGAGAGATGTAGCTTCCATTCTCATACTTGTCTATTAAGTGAGAAACTAGACTGGGGTGGAGGAGGCATCAACTGACTCCTTATTTTGTAGCCATAATTTTTGATTTAGAGACTCCTCATTAAAGCTTTGTTGTTTGGCTAATTTAATGTTAAATTTTATGATCTACCTTAAACCAAGTAAAAATATATTAAGTCATTTGATTTCTGGGATATTTTAAATATATTGAGAATATTCACTGATAGTGCTACTTTACTTAGATTTCCAAACTGAAAAACAAATATAGTATTAATTAAAATATATAATGTTTTAACATAGTTAAGTTGAATTTCAGTTTAAGGTAACCTCTGTGGATTTTATTTTCCTTTTATATATAGAAAAATATCTAAGAAACCTCTAATGTTTCTTTCAGCTTGGGAAAATTAGCCTAATGAGACATAGGATTGTATAGAGAATATAAAACCATCTAATTTAAGCATAGGAAAACATTCTCCCCAATGTAAAATGGCATAAAGATTTACTTATTCATTATTTGCTCTCTAAATTAGTGATGAACCCTAACATAAGCATAGTAGTCTAACCTATTATATAACTGTAGGTTCATCACTTAATATTCTTGGACCACATATCTTGAGGGTGGTAAATCTTCCAATTGCCTTTTAACTTAAAGCTCTAAGAATCTTCCCCAGGACTGCTCAGGGGAGTTTGGATTGCCAGAAGGAGCTAGAAGTAAGGTAGAGATGTATCCTAGTGATTGTTTCTTCTTAGACCTTTCAAGAATGGCCACAATTGTGAGAAGCCAGATGTTTGTTTAAAACTATATTTTCACTTCGTAGTCTTACCATTGATCTAATAAAACTAAGTTTTTCTGGAAATATCTTTACAGTTCTTATTCAGATTTAGTAGCCCTGAAATTCTTCCTGGTCCCTTAAAAATTTACATTTTAGGGTATTAGGACAGTGAGAAGGTGTGTAACTTCTACGTCAGGAATTTGAGTTTCTACAGTATTTTAATGGTTGTAGTAATATGTAATGTGGTAAACTTCATTCCCACTTTTTACTTCTTCTTTAGTAACTTGAAACATTTTCTAACTCATTAGATGTAAAAACCATTTCATTTATAAATTTTTATATTTGTGACTTTTTGTGTAGGAGGATATCGTGGGGGACTCTATAAATTTTGGTTGATTGTGTGTAGATTTCTGTAGATGATGATAGATTGCATAATGATGACTGGTTACATTGATACTACTCTTTAAATTCTGTATTTTAAGTGTCTAAATTTTGTCACTCTCCTAAATTCAACCTTAAGACAAAGTTTATTAGTTTTTGTGCTTGTCTAGCATTCCTAGTTAGATTTTACTGTCATCCATGTCCCATATTCTGTGGCCAGCTGTGTTTATGCAAAATTTACATTTGATAAATATCTAATCACTAGAGGACCAGTGCACAAAAATTTGTGCACTCAGCGGCGGGGGGGGTCCCTCAGCCCGGCCTGTGCCCTCTCGCAGTCTGAGACCCCTCAGGGGATGTCCACCTGCTGGTTTAGGCCCACTCCCCAGGGAATTGGGCTTAACCTGGCAGTCAGACATTCCTCTGGCAGTCCGGGAGCCCTCAGGGGATGTCCACTTGCCCAGCGGAGAGCAGGCCTAAGCTGCAGTCGGACTTCCTGTGCTGGCAGCTGTCAGCCTGGCTTGTGGCTGAGCAGAGCTCCCCCTGTGGGAGCATACTGAGCACCAGGGGGCAGCTCCTGCATTGAGTGTCTGCCCCCTGGTGGTCAGTGTGTGTCATAGTGACCAGTTATTCCCAGTCGTTCTGCTGTTAGGGTCACTTTGCATATTACCCTTTTATTGTATAGGATAGAGGCCTGGTGCATGGGTGAGGGCTGGCTGGTTTGCCCTGAAGGGTGTCCCGGATCAGGGTGGGGGTCCCGCTGGGGTACCTGGCCAGCCTGGGTGAGGGGCTGATGGCTGTTTTCAGGCTGGCCAAGCTTCCCAGCGGAGACCCTGACCCCATGGGGGTGTGGCCAGCCTGGGTGAGGGGCTGAGGGCCATTTTCAGGCTGCCCACAGCCCCTTCAGGGTGGAGGTCCCAGCTAGGGTGCCTGGCCAGACTGGATGAGGGGCTGAGGGCCATTTTCAGGCTGCCCACAGCCCCTTCAGGGTGGAGGTCCCAGCTAGGGTGCCTGGCCAGACTGGATGAGGGGCTGAGGGCCATTTTCAGGCTGCCCACAGCCCCTTCAGGGTGGAGGTCCCAGCTAGGGTGCCTGGCCAGACTGGATGAGGGGCTGAGGGCCATTTTCAGGCTGCCCACAGCCCCTTCAGGGTGGCGGGGGTTCCGCTGGGGTGCCTGGCCAGCCTGGGTGAGGGGCTGATGGCTGTTTTCAGGCTGGCCACTCCCCCTGGCGACCCAAGCTCCCAGCCTCTCCTTTTGGGCTGGAAGCAGGTATCTTGGTTTTATTTATCTTCTATAATTGAAACTTTGTAGCCTTGAGTGGAGCCCAAGCCTCCTGCTCGCTCCAGCCCCATGGCCGCCACCATCTTAGTTGGGTTAATTTGCATACTCTCTCCTGATTGGCTGGTGGGCGTGGCTTGTGGGTGTGGCTTAAACATAGCCAAGGGATGGTTAATTTGCATGTTTCTCTTTTATTATACAGTGGGGCCCTGACTTAGGAGTTTAATTCGTTCCGTGACAGAGCTCATAACTCAAATTACTCGTGTGTCAAATCATTAAAGTGAATGAGTGAGACCCGTGATGCTGGGCTGATGTTGTGGCATTCACTGTGAAGTTCGCTGCGCCAACTAGCGGTGGGGTATCTGAAGCTGGCTCATAACCCGAATTTTAGCTCGAAACTCAAAGCAAAAACTCGGCCGAGAGACGGTTCGTATCTCGAAAAACTCGTTAGTCGGGACACTCATAAGTCAAGGCCCCACTGTATAGGATGATTCAGGGGTGGGCAAACTTTTTGACTCGAGGGCCACAATGGGTTCTTAAACTGGACCGGAGGGCCGGAACAAAAGCATGGATGGAGTGTTTGTGTGAACTAATATAAATTCAAAGTAAACATCATTACATAAAAGGGTATGGTCTTTTTTTCTTTTAGTTTTATTCATTTCAAAGGGGCCCGATCCGGCCCATGGGCCGTAGTTTGCCCACAGCTGGGATAATTCATAATGGACCATTCTTGGTCCATCATAACAAGGACATAGATTTTTGATTTATGTTTCTTTTGGTAGTAATATGTTTTTACACTCAATTCCAGATTCCCTTAGGATTCCAAATGCAAACTGAGGCTAACGTGTGCCATTGTATATGAAGCTCTTGGGCATTTTGTTCTATAGAATATACAAGAAACTTTAAAACATGATCCTAGTTGTTAGGGAACAGAGTATTCTATTTAGCAGAATGGCTTTTACATGTATGATACACTAATTATTGGGAATATTATAAATTCCTTAAACAATATTTTTTTAAATTATACAAATGATGTTACTAAGGACATTAGTATTGTTAGATTAAAAATGTAGGACAATTATAATAAAAATATTAATTTGGAGTTCATTGTATAAACCAATATTTTCTCTAGTGATTTAGTACTTTATTGAAGAAAATTATGCTAGATGAGTATATGAATCAAATGTTTATTTTAATGTTCCTGTTGTATCAAAAATAGACTCTGTGGATGCTTTAAATGTAAGGGCAAATGGGTAAAATTCATGTATCAATTTTGAACTATTTCTGCTTTAACTGATTGCAAAAATATGAGTAGTCTGAATTTTTAAAGCAACTTAACATATATGTGATAAAAATACAAACAAATAGAAAGATAAATGTAGTAAATGCCACAAAATGTATTTCCTGTATAGAAGGCAAGAGGTAGAAAGTATAGATACATTTGTTTACTACTGAAATAGGTCCTAAGGCACATAGTGCAAGCCTCTTGCTTTGAGAATAGGTGGAATAGTGACTTACGTAGAGGCAGGCTGCATGCCTTCCTCG